CCCCAAAACCCCAAAACCCCAAAACCCCAAAACCCCAGGAGTACTCATCAAGATAAATTCTGAAAATGATATATGAATATAAGTGAGTGGCATAATATTGGAAAGCAGAAATTAATTTTAATTCAGATTAAATCAAGAGTACATTAATAAGTTAATTAAATTACAAAATAATGAAATAATCTCCAGCTTGTATACCTATTAAGACAGATCGCATACCTTCACTCCAAGGACTGAGCCAGCAAAGATCTGTGTCTAGCTTGAAAAATTAGAAGTATTTCTTTGATCGAACACCAATGTAAATCAAGACTGAGATAAATAATCATCTATTTTGTCACTGGATTGATACTTAAATACAATAAAAAACATCAAAGCAGGATTTATAAACTTGAGTCAATAATGGCATAGTTGATTGCAAAGCATAAAACTAATTGCTTAAAACTTTCGATACTCGCTAAATATCATCTAGATAATAAACTGAAGAAAGATAAAGCTTGCCAACACCCTCAAAATTACAGCTAAAGACTATGTAGTCTAGTCAAAGTCAATCAGGTCCATTTTAAAGTGAGTATTATACTGAGAATAAAAAACAGCCGAACATTCCATCATTGAATTAATTTAAGTAAACGGATGAGTCAGCTAAGAAATTGATGCCAAATTATTTTGTAAGAAAACCAAACTCTTTGAATTCTCATCGAAAAATCGTAGAATTTCTAGTGAAAGAGGATTAAAAAGATTAATTCTAGCTGAGCGGAAAGGACTCCTCAACAGAATAAATGAAAAATTACAAGACTCTGAATAATCTTTTGGCGAAATAAAAGGAGTCAAGAAGTCCATATAAAAAAACTGCCTCTTAAGGAAACTCACCATGTAGAGGAGGAATTTAAGATATGAAAAGCTAATCTGGAAACGCCTCGTAGGCCGGAGACTAAAATGAGATGAAGTTTCATTTGGTAGAGCTTGACAAACTAAGAACAGACATTCATCTTATTAAGGATCAAACTAAATCAGACATTAATTATGGACTTTTCAAAAAATAGAGATCAGGTTTGAGCAATGCTCCTCTTAGGTCAAAATAAGACTATAGACTTATAGATAATTCATTATCATTGGATCTTTACGAATTGAGCAGATAGATATTTCATCCTTACAAGTAAAAATTAGAAGATGACCCTAATAAGAAAAAATATACTCATAGAAATCAATACTTATTAGCAGTGGATGATCTTAACTTGGGAGAAGAAGTAGCATTTTCAATCAATAGTATAGAGTAAGATAAAAATAAAAAACCTCCCTCAATGGAATAGATTCCCCAGTAAATCACAGGTAACTCAGCGAAATAATAAAAGTTTCAACTTATGCTTGAGAAGTAGTAATAGCTTAAAAGAATGAAAGTATTATCAAACTTTGTGAATAGTCAAATGGAAAGAATAATGCTGTCGAAGATGAATTCAGAAGTTTCTGCAATGTATATTAGTGGTCATAATAAGATGGAAGGGACTGTGAGACATTTATAAGAGTTACAGAGAGAATAATAAATTGAAAAGATTCGTGAGGAAAATGAAATTTACATGAAGCAAAAGAGAAAATAAATCTACGAAAAATTGAGAAATATCTAAGATTTCAAGCAAAAATTAGTGTTCAACAGAGTTGATAAGAAAAAGAAAGATTTAGATCCAAATTTCATAGAGACAATTGTTTATACCTCTAGTGATAACAAAGGCTCAGGATTTTACACAAGTAGGAAAGTCTACACAGACGGAACAATCATAGAAAGACCAAAACCTGAAACTCCCATTATTTAACCTTTAGGGCAGAGAAAGTAATTATGAAAGAGTGACTGTTTAATTATTTAAATTATATTATCAGAGTTTGTATAATTTGTTTGAGGATGAACATTAAAGAGTTATGAAATAAAGATTAATATTAATTTACAAACTTTCACGGTATCTGAATTATTCTAAACTTGGTAATAACTGAGGATAATTATCAAAATTATATTATCACTACAGAAATTTGCCTCAGTTCCCGCTATCATGTATCTCACTCATTTATTTTGTTACTCTATATTACATCTCTGTTCTACTAAAAAGTTTATTTCTTTCTAGCAGCCTAAATCTGATTTCTAAATTTCAGTTTGATTTTCGAGATCATCCACACATTTTTAAATAGATTAGCTGTATCACCCTATGTAACCTCAACCTTCGGATAGATGATGCGAGGCATAGGTAAGATTCCATTACTTGTGACCCAGTCATGATTCATAATTTCTAAGAGTGTCACTCTATGATTAGGATCTTTGATGAACATTTTCTTAAGTAAATCTACTAGTGATGTATTGGAATCAGGAGGATATTCAGGCCTAAGTAAATTAAGGAATATAAAATTACTCTTTGGTTTAGATTTTATTGTATAAATCTGGTATCATATTTGAAATAAATGGATATTTCTTGAAGACCATCTAATAAAGTGTGATTCCCGCAGCCCAAATATCACTTTTCCTGCCCTTGAATGTTGTCCCCTGACAGACTTCTGGGGCTAAATAGTAATTTGAACCAGCAGTTGTTGTAATCTCATCACTTCCATTTTCCATTAGAAAGCTGACTCCAAAATCTGATATTTTTAATCTATCCTGTTCGTCAATTAGTAAATTATCTGGCTTTATATCTCGATGAATAACACCAGCAGATTCATGCACTATAAAGTTAAGGATTAAGTGATATTACGATAGTTCAGTCCTAAAATTAGATCTCTAAAATACTTCCAAATTAATTGGAGATTTGAGTTCTTAGTCTTAGAAAGTTTCTTCATCAGAGTACCGTTAGGTAAATACTCCATAATTATATAGAGTTTATCATGAGTTGGATCGTCAAGGACTTCAATAAGTTGAACTACATTAGGATGATCAAGTTTTTTCATGATTGCGATTTCCTTCTCAACATTTTAAAGAGCTGTTCTTGTCTTTGAAATGAAAATTCTGTTAAGCTTTCTTTTATTTAGGATTTTCATGGCAAACCTTTACTTAGTCTCTTCGTTGACACATAAGAATACCTCAGCATATGAACCTCTATTAAATTGATTATTAGTGTTACTTAGATACCTTCCTAATTCAGAAAGAACTATGTATTAGTTGATCTTCCTTTTGCCTTTTTAATCTCTTCCTGATATGACACTTCTAGTAACTTGACTTTTAGGAGTTCCGTCCATTGATTTCATATCACTAATAAAAATGAATTAGCTTAAATCTTACTTTGTATCGCCTTCTAACTTTTTAAGATTTTCTCGAGTTAATTCATTTGTTATTTACTTCTGAAGTATAGAGTTTTCTTGTAGATGTAGTGACATGCTATTAGCCTGATAATTAGAAAGTCTAGCATCTCTTTTGTTCTCAAACATACTTTGAATATTGTGATTTACCTTTGGAGTTTTAGCATGATTATCCGTATTAAAATCCCTCACCTTAAAATTTCTATGTTACTCAAATGACGTGTTTTGTTTAAAATTTCTTATCAATCTGCTTGCTTGGTTGTTGTTAACTTTGCTTGATTATCTTGATGTGGTCCTATCCTTTGTTTCGTTTTACTTAATTGACTAAATTTCGGGCTGCTAATGCTAAGTCTTTGGCTCCTAATTTTCAGCTAGATATTCAATGTGTAACGTACTATAATCAAGTGAGACATCAGGATTGAACCAAGCAGCTGAAGTAGTCTAATTATCTAATGCAGACATTGGAGTGAATTCACTTGGAGTTATACATTCCTAAGTATATCCAAGCATATCACTTAAATCTAGCAGCTCATCTTCCTCAGAGGCTTGCATTCTAAGGCTAATCTTTGGATATTAATCATTAATGGAACTTTTGAGTTCTTCTTTCATCGGTGATTATTCCCTTTCCTCTATGATTGGCTGGATTATGTGAAGCTTAAGATCTTTCATGGCATCATCTTGCTTTCTTTGATTGAGAATGTTCTTCATCTTAGCCAAACTTTCATCATCCTTGATTCTCTTAGATAAAGATCTTAACGGTGTGAGAATTCCTTTTTGATCATTTGAAAGAGTTCGATTTGGATTAGAAATAATTGTGTTTTGTTGCCTTAACTTGCTCTCATCTAGGGGTGTTGTTGTGTGTAGCTAAATTGCCAAACTCTAATTATTAATAGGAAGTTTTATAGGCGAGTTGTTGTTATCGGCTAAAGTTTTTTGCTGTCTTATCATCGAAATAAGATTCTTTTATTAAGTGGCATGTAATTTAATAGCAAGAGATTATTAATGGCCGAAAGATTAAACCATCTAAGATTTGATAACTGGTGACTCTGAGTTTTAGGAGTTTATTTAAGGTAGATTGATTTAAACAGGAGAGCAATCTTGTGAAACTATCTTCTAAATGCTCTGATTAATTTCCTAGCTCTAGTTATGACTCTAATTCTGATGCATTTCTTCTGCATCAAATGTTGAATTGCTGTTTTTTCTTTTTTGAATGCTTCTCTTACTCTGAGGTGCTACTTAGTTTACAAATTACATGATCTGCTCCTCCTTTTGCTTTGCTGTTTGATCTTCTTAATGAATCTCCTCATTCTTCTTTCCGTCTCGAGCCATTGATTATTTTCGACTTTAGAATCTAGAATTGTTTTAAGATTATATTGATTTTGGGGGTTCGTGTATTTATGCATTGTGCACCATTCTCTAAGTCACTTCTGCAGAATGAGTATCGCTAATCATAACTTGTTTCTAGTCTGAATTCATATTCTCATCCTCTTCCATACTAAGGGACGATTTAAATGAATCTTAGTTGCTTTCATTCTCAACGTTCTCAATATCGATTTTGCTTACTTTTTCCTACTTATCTGTAGTAGTCTTCTTTGATCTCTTGGAAGGCTTTTTAGAAGAAAGTTTCCTGCTAAAATTCACGTTACGCATGTTTAATCTATCATCTTAACTAGAAGCCTAAGACTCATTATCATCTTCAACTATCTCTATATCACGTTTCGAATAGATATCATCATCTCTACCAATAGACATTGGCTTCAAATTAATCCTATCAACTAATATTACTTTATATATATTTTACATATTTCCTTGGTAGTACCCAAACTATGGTAAAGTGCTTTGCAAATGATTATTTCCATTATTATTTCCATTGCTGTTGCTATTACTACCAGGTTCATCTACTAGATTATGAATCAAGTCTTCGTTGTCCTTGTCTTATCTTCCAAAATTAGCAGCACTGTATATCTCATCCGCACAGCTCGACCTAGATGTACCTCTCATAAAAGACTCAGCCTAAAATTATGGCGTGCTTGAGTGAAACCAAAATGCATCTCCGTTACCTGCGGCTGCAGCTGCTGCATTTATGATGCTTAGATTGTTAAGGGTGATACCTAATGTCTAGGCATTCATTCCCTTTTTTAGTTATTGCAATCTTTTCTCCCTGCTTGCAGGGTCACTATTACTAAGCAACTCATCAATTAAATTCCCGTTGCTAAATCTTTTTCCATTATTAAGATGACCTTAACCTGTTAATTAATTAGTTAACAATAGTTAATCTAAAAGCAGAGCCTATTATTATTTATGTCTCTAAATGGATACGCTTTATGAGTTCAATGAGTTTTATGAGACGAGATCAGAGTTATTATTTTTATTATTCCAATAGTCTACACTGAACTCTGATCCATTAGGAGACTACCCTGATTATCTCTTTGAACGTTCCAACCTTTTCTTAATTTGATGTATTGTAGACTACTTTCTCATAATTCCTTTGCTTGCACGACCTGAATTTTATTTACTTGGGCTTTCTCCTGTTTGATCTCGATATTGAACTTGACTGCTTCCATTGGTGTTAGGGTTGCTGTTGCTAGTCATTTATTAGTTGAGCATAAGGTTAATATTTAATTCTATGTTTTGAGGTCTCTTTATGGATCCCATAGTCCTTTCTCTTTTGTAAACATTAAGAGGACTCTCAACTAATTAATCATCAATCTCCTGACCCATCCATTCCTTTGATATTCTAATAGTAGGAGACGGCTTCAACTTAGGAACTTCAAGTCTTTCTAAGTTGTTTTGGTTCTGTATATTTGATGCGTGCATATCAGCTGACTAGTTCTTGACATGGCTGAGATAGGTCATAGTTGATAACTACTCTTTTTTCTTTGTTGTTGGTGGAGAAAATTATACTGATTTTGTATTATTTATTTCGGGAAAACTTTATTGGTCTGTCATTTATGATGAAGATTAGACCTGTTATTCAGCTATTTGAGCAGGTGAATCAATAATCTGAGACAGCAGCATTTAGGTATCTTTGATCATTTGAGTATTGGTGGTGGGTGGGGGGAGCTGACTCTCGGTTGAGATTTTATTGGCTTTAGTTTCAACTGGAGCGCAGCACTTATTTCCCATAATATGTTATTGTATAAATTAAACTAATACTTCATTAAATTTGAGCACATAATAATTTTTATCTCATTAATATTCTCTTCTTGTATTTTAAATTAGATTGCCAACATTTCATTTTCGATTTCTCTAAATTTAAGTGTATCGGGGTTTTGGGGTTTTGGGGTTTTGGGG